CTTTACATAGTTTGTGAAACAATTTCAATCGTGTTTATTACTCAAAATGTCAATGGATTACGATCTTTCACTGGTGAGACACTTGATAATCTCCAGAGGAAAATACATCAAAAGCATATATACAATTATAGAAGTTCTTATAATCCATGTAGCCCTGATGGTACATTATTTATCACGTTTTACAGAACTAGAAAACATTCAAATGAACATAAAGAGATTCAGACTGGATGATAAACTTCTGATGGTTCAGGTCCTTCATTTAATTTTTTCTGATAAGAAAATCCAAAATTATTAATGTTGAATTTCTCATCATACATTCATCTAAAACCACAGTGGAAAAAAATAAACTTTGTAAAGACAGTAAATTGGTTGTTTTAGGTGTTTCACAAGTAGCTTGCTATCTAATCCAGGAACTGCTGGAGATTTCTGCAGAGTGCAGAGAATGAGGTGGCTGGGCCGAAGTTTTTGTTGTCGTAATTGTTGAGGTCATCCCCGTTCCCTTTGAGAGCCGCCTCGGACATCATCTCCACTTTCACGTTGAGGTCCTGATTCTTTCTTTGGAGGTCCACAATCACGGAATTCAGGAAATCAATCTGTGTTCAAGGAGAGCGTGAGACGGTGAGCCATCTGCGGGAGCCATGGGAGCCCGCCACAGAGGAGGCTGGGCCCCGCTTCCAGTCCCTGCCCCAGGGTTGGAGGCAGCCAGAGCTCCCCTTTCCCTTCCTGAGCGCAAGCTCCCGGGTGCCCAGGGAAGACCCCAGGAAGAGATGCTGGTACCCCTCGGTTCTTCTCAGAGCAGGGAGTCAAGAGGGGTCTTCCCTCTCCTACAAAGACAAAGTCACTTCTTTCAAATGAATGGGGCGGGGGGAAATCCCACTTTACAAAAGCAAGCATGACTGTAGGCACAAACATTCATGTTTCACTTGAAAACTGGCAGGCGCGTTGGGTCTGAGTGATAGCACAGCGGGAAAGGTGCTTGCCTCGCACGCAGCCAACCCAGGTTTGATTCCTGGCATCCTATAGGGGCCGCCGGAGAGCAGCCAGGAGTGATTAATGAGTTCAGAGCCAGGAGGAAGCCTGGAGTATCGCCAGGTGTGGCCCCCAAAGAAAGTGTAAATAAAACCAGAAAAACAGACTGATTCTTTTTCTCCCTCAGGGCAAGTTCTGATGGCCAGTCTCTGAGAGTGCCCAGGCCATCCCACACTAGAGCCAAGAAACGCAGATCTCTCTTCCTCCAGCTGAAAACAAAACAAAACAAAACAAAACAAAACAAAACATGGAAATGTTCAGTTCCCAACAAACCCATACAGGGTCCACCTGCACAGCCCACATGCAAAGTTCACTTCAGCCCACAAGTGCCCTCCAGGACCACCGGCTGTTAAGTACAGAAGTGCAGGAAGTGAGGGTGTGCGGGAACTCCTCAGGGCACTGGGACCCAGATGGTCCTCTTCCTTGGAGAGGATTCAAACGATAAAGCGCTGCAGACCCGGGTGGGATGGAAGGGGGGTTGGGGAAGGAGAGACATCAAGGAGGCCCCAAGGCTGACTCCTGCTGCAGGCCAGACCCGAGCCTGGTGATGGTAGGTGCAGGCACCGGACTGCAGCCAAGTGTGCAAACCCCGGAGGACCCCACCCAGCTGTCTCCCTTGACAGGAGCAAGAAGCAGGAAGGCAGCCCAGAGGACCAGACTCCCCCAGCTCTGGGACTAGAGCATGCGCAAAGAGGCTGGAAAAGCCACATGCTGGTGGGCGTTTCCATTTGCGACTGAACCTTCCTGGCAGGGAAGAAGCCCTCCAAAGTGGTGTTCGACTCTGGCAAAGTGAAGATTTGCCAATGTGATAGGAGCCCGAAGCCCAGGTTCTGGGAGAGCAGCAAGAGGAAGGGCATTGGAGGGCTCTGGCAAGGACATGACCCCTTGACTGAAGGGATGTGTCCTTGTCCAAGGGGCCTCTCACTCCTTAAGCATCATCTCTTGTGCTGGGAGCGTGTGGGGGTGGGGTTCCGGCAGCATGTGCGCAGCCCCTGGTTCTCACGGGCGCCAGGGGAGCACAGCCCCTTCTTCCTCAGCTTCCCTCTTTTTGGCTTCTGTTATTTTAATGAATCAATTAATTTGGGGAGGGGGTTTTTGGGTCACAATCCGGCCTTGCTCAGGAGTGACTCCAGGCTCTGCACCCAGGAAGTACTCCTGGCGGTGCTTCGGGGACCATATGGGATGCCGGGGATGGAACCTGGGTTGGCCATGTGCAAGGCCAACACCCTACCTGCTATGCTATTGCTCCGGCATCATTCTCGGATATTTTAAATGGTAGATATTCCCCGACTCTTTTGAAGCATACACGCATATAGACATATATACATGTCTGTGTATGTATACATGCTTATCTAGAACCTTTGTGGGTAGTCAGTTTGGTTTGTTTGGGGCCACACCCGGTGGGGTAGGGAATAAACCCTAGCTCTGTGCTCAGGGATCACTCCTGGCTAGGGTGGAACAGCTCAGGCTGTCAGCCGTCACTTGAGCCCGGGAAAGTGGGGCTGTGAGTTCAGAGGGCACTGGCTCACCTACAACTGCACTCAGGAATTACTCCTGGCGGTGCTCAGGGGACCATATGGGATGCCGGGGATTGAACCTGGGAATTCGGTGTGTAAGTCAAACGCCCTCCGCGCTGTGCTATCACTATGGCCCAGGATATGGTTTCTCTCAAGGCTGAGGCCGGGCCTACACAGCCCTGGTCACTACCATCACCCACCTTACTCTGCATCATCGCATTGGTGTTCCTGGTGTCCTCCAGGGAGGCCAGGGCCTGCAGGGACGCCTCCCGCTCGGCCAGCAGCTCGGTCTGCTGCGCCTCCAGCAGCGCCTGGTCTTTCAGCAGCCAGTGCAGCTGCCGCTGGAGCTTCGTGGCCTTCTGGCCCAGCAGCTCCTTCTCAGAGCCAAGGCTCTTCAGCTGCTCATGCAGGGCCGACTCCACGTGGGCGGCCTCCTCCTTCTCAGCCGTGAGCTCCTCGATCTCTTGCACAAGCGACTTCTGATCCCGAGCCAGCTCCTCGGAGGAGCACTGCAGCTTCTGGATGATGTTGTCCTTGTCCTTGGCCAGGGATAGGTAGTCCAGAACCAGCTTCTTGACATGCTCCTCCAGCTGGCCCCTCTCCTCCAGGCCCTTCTTGCACTCGGCCACCAGGCTGCTCTTGCTCATCTGCAGCTCCTCCACCAGGGCCTGCAGCCCCAGCTTGGCGACCTGCAGTGCGTCCTTCTCCGCGCCCACCCTCTGGAGCTCCTCCTGCACCGCCCTGCCCTCTTCCAGCACTTTCTCTTTCTCCGCCTCGAGGGCTTCTCGGTCCAGCCGCTCCTGCTGGCAGAGCTTCTCCGCGGCCCACCTGGCCTCGATGACCTTCTCCTTATCCATGCGAATCGCTTGGTTCAAGAGCCAGAGCTTCCTCTGCTCTTCCCGCAGCGAAGAGTTTTTGGCCTCCGCTTCTCTGAGTTTCAATTGAAACCACCCTCTCTCAGACTTCAGACAGAGCTTCTCCTTCACCAGCAATTCATTCTCTGACCTCAGGGCCCTGCGATCCTCTGACATCAGCTCCATCTCTTCTTTGGCCGAGCTTAATAAGCAAGTTAAGGACTGCAGAAACAAAAAGCGGGGAAGAATGGAAACAAGAATGAGATCAAGCAGGCACAAGCAAGCCAAGCACTTCATGTGGCCTAAATACCAGAAATGAAAATGGCAGAGTAGTCTTACCTGCACACGCGTGTATACGCGCACGCGCACACACACACACACACACACACACACACAGACTCAGGATGGAGAGGCTCAGACACAGTTAGCTTCTTAGCGTCAACATAACTACCTGCCTATTTTGTGGATGGGGGCCCCAAACCTGCTGGTGTTCGGGTCTCGCTCAGGGTTCTGTGTTCAGGGATCACTGCTGGCAGGGCCGGAGGACGGGATGCTGGGGATCAACCCCAAGTTGGCCGAGTACAAGGCAGCACCCTACCCATTCTACTATCAGCCGAGTTGATTTTTGAAATGCCGTCTGAAATGATTCCTGACAGCTCCCCGGAAGGTGTAAGTACAGTTGGATCTTGACATTGGGGCATAAGATTTTTTCCCCCCACTTCAATTCTTCTGTTATAAAATCCATCACTCTGTCCTAGAAGGGATGCATTCAAAAACTAGTTTTCAATACAATTCAAAGAACTACAAAAAGTATTTTGTTTTGGAACTTTGTGCAGGAGGGGAAGGGAAAAGCAACCACTGCTTGTCAAACGATTTTCACAGGGACAAACAGAGGCAGGAAATGGACTTAGTCCCAAAAGTTATACACTTTATAGAAAATCCGGACGAATCCACCAAGCTTTGGAGACTGAAGCCAACAGTTTTTGCTTGCCAAACACAGTAACAAGTCTCAAAATGGAGACATTAGTGGGCCCGCTCGAGCCAATCGATGAGCAATCGGAGGGTGGTGTTTGCAGTCATTTTGGAGGGGCCCAGGGGCTCCAGGAGGACTGGCCGCACACGGGTCAGGGTCTCCCTCACCTGCTCTCCCTGCCCGTCAGCAACGGGTTGTGCGTTTTCATTTCTGAGTCTCAATGCACACCACAGTTGAACCGCCATGTACTTTCCAGAACTTTCTGCAGCAAGGGCTATCTTCTCTGTCCAGCTCAGCAGCCATGAGCCGCAGCAGGCTACTGGTGTGTGCTGGGCAGCTGACCGCTGACGGCCATGTTACTGGAATGGGACTGACCTGAGCATGCACACGAGGCTGCTGGCCACAGAACTGGGCCAGCAGGTGGTCCAGAGAGGAGACGTAGCCCTGGCTGCGGTGCGTGGTGGAAAGAGGCCGGGCACCAACACACATACGGGCCACGGCCGCCATCAGCCGTGGCGCTGCACTGCGGCCACCCACCTTGGCCTTGTCGGCTTGTGTCTTCAGCTCGGCCACCTCCCGCAGCAGTCTCCCGTTCTCCGCCTGCACCGCCTGCAGCTTCTCCTTCGCCTGCAGCAGCAGCTGCTGAAGGGCCTGCGGCGCCTCCTCGTGGTGCCCCTGGATCTCCACGCTGGCCTTGGTGAGCTCGGCCTGTAGAGCCTGGCACTGGCTGCGGCACACGTCCACCTTCTCCTCCTGCGGGGACCCGGGGGCCACCGTCAGCCGCCGGCCCCCTGCCCGCTCCCAGCACACACGCACAAACACGAACTCACACACACACAACGCAAACACACAAACATACACACTCGCACACACACAGCCCCTCTGCTCTGCTCACCAGCATGCACACACAAACACACATGCACACACACACGTGCGCACACACGGCCCCTCAGCTTGGCCGCTTTCGTTCAAGTTCTCCTGAAGACTACGAAGCGCTAGCCCCTGCCCCTGCAGCTCCTCGGCCAGGCTATCGGCCTACCAGAGTCACAAGGATGGAGTGAATGGACCAAGGAGACAAACAGGAATGGGAAGGGGAAAACAAAACAGAAAACACGTATGAGAATCCCATGACCCAACACAACCCCAAAGAACAGAGGCGTGAGGTGAGCGTGATTGCCTGAAGCTCGCGAAGCCAAGGGCTTGGCGCCGGCAGTTCTGGTGATGACTGTCTAGTGGTTATTGAAAACGGCCCAAACAGAGGCGTTTTCTAGACCTAACTTTGGCATGACCAGAAAATAAGAAAGCCTATGAGAAAGACTGACTTTCCAGGGCCGGGGAGACGGCACAAAGGGCTGGAGTACACACCAGGCCCGAGTTGGAACTGCAGCACCACTGGACGAGACTGAGATCGGTCCACAAGCTGAAAAGCCCCACTACTGCTGGGCGGGAGGACCCCAGAGCCCAGAGCATGGCTTGGCGAGGAAGAAGGAAGTAAGCAAGGGTGGAGGGAAGCTAAGGATAGGAAGGAGGGAGGGAGGAAACAGGGAAGAAAGGGAAAGGGAGGGAAGGGAGGGAATAAAAGGTTATCTTTTTTTTTTCTTTTGGCTTTTACGGTCACCCTAAATGCTCAGGAATTTCTCCTTGGCAGTAACCCGGCCAGCTCACCGAGAGTATCTCGCCTGCAGGCAAAGCCTGCCAAGCTCCCCGTGATGTATTCGATATGACAAACACAGTAACAAGTGTCACAATGGAGACGTTACTGGGTCCCCTCGAGCTAATCGATAAACAACGGGAGGGTAGAGACAATGACAGTGACCCTATGGGATGATGGAGATCGAACCCACGTGGGCCGCGTGCAAGGCAAATGCCCTTCCCATTGTACTATCATTCCGGCCCCCAAGATTTACTATCTTGTAGTTTCTTTTCTGTGACTTTAAAAGTTTGAGGGGTTTCAATATGAAATTTAAAATGAAGAACCTCTAATCTACTAGACAGCAGTCACCCGAACTTGACGTTTGTTACATCTTGATGCGAACAAGTGGGTCAGCTATCCCCTGCTGTGTCCTAGGAATTGATTCCATTTGTTTCAGCCGATGTTTCTGGAATGCCAGCCAAGGAGTCCTGAGTCCTGAGAGGAACTCCCGGGGATCTCGGGGCCCTTCTGTTATGTCTGTCAGTCCTGTCTAGAAAGCCCACAGCCCTTCCATCTTGGCCAACAGAGAAGTTTCTCCAACAAAGTGCCCAGCGCGAGGGGAGCGGGGGGGGGGGTTGAGGGCACGTCCCTGCCACCACAATCCTATAGGAGGAAAAGGGCATCTCTCGGGGCTCCTTGGTGAGAACTGCAGCTTCCTCGGCTTGGCCCAGATCTCACTGTCTCGTCCTTCCCCAGGGTCAGGGCTACCATGAGAGTCCATGCCTGTGGCCAGCAGGGGGTCATGCTGGAAGGCGGACTTGGTCCAAGCACCCCTTAGAGGCTGAAAGGGATGAAATCTCTGCAGGGCTGCGCGGGGGCTTGTGCTGCAGGGAGGGAGGGGCTGGCAATGAGAAATACCAAGATGGGTCACGTCACCAGCCCTGAGGGAGCTCAGAGGCTCAGAGGCATTGAGCACCAGTTGGGAACTGAGGCGCCTCGGGGAGAGGAGGGCAAAGCCTGTCACACGAGCAGGTGGTCAGCAAGGTCAGGGAAATACCCTCGCGGCCTGACTCGAGCCCAAGTGTCTGGGCGGACTCGGCGAGTATGCAGCGGGCCCAAGGGGTGGGGGGCAGAGGTCTGCTCTGGGGGCTCCTATCTTGTTTTCTCACTGGCCTCGTGAAGAATTCTCTGTTTCAGAAAGACCCCAGATGGGCCCGATTAGCCAGGGCCAAGGCTAGCACGGCATCCGGGTGCTGGGGACCAATGACAGCCCCAGAATCGTGCCGACACCTTCTCAGTCCCATCAGAGGGAACCGCACGGGACGTGACCGGGAGACCTGTCAGCACCAAGCCGGAACACGGCGGCGAGCAGACTGACACACAGCATGCAGGGAGCGAGCGTGGAAGTGGGCGAGGGCGCCCGAGTACCAACCTGCAGCTCTCGGCCCGCTTTGCATTCTCTAACTCCTGAATCTGCCGCTCAGCCACCTGGAGCTGCTGCCTGAGCTTCTCCATTCCCAATTGACCTTCGGAACTGGCCTTCCAAAGCCCATCGAGCTGCAAGAGCTTCTGCTGGGTGGCCTCCAGCTGTGCCGTGGCATTGGCCAGGGCCTGGGCTTGCTGACTACTCACGGCCCGCAACCCGTCCAGGTGCTTTACCTTCGTCTCCGCCTCCTGCAGCTTGTTCAGGGCGTCCTCCATCTCCACCAGGTGCTGGTCCTCGATCTGGTCGAGCTTGGCCCGTGCGGCCTCCAGGCTGTTCTTCTGCTCCTGGGCCGTCCTGAACAGCCGCGACCTGAGCGTCTTCAGCTCGGAGGCGTGTGCTGCACGCTCAGCCGCCTGCTGGGCCTTCAGGCTCTCCACCTCCTGCTGGTACTCGAACTGTAGCCTCTCGATCTGCATCTTGAGCTCGGCCAGCTCGGCCGCCTCAGCGCCCACGCCCTGGCTCACGGATGCCTTCGGCTCGCCCATGGCCTGTTGGTGCGGGGTGATGGCCGTCTCCAGCTTGGACTTCCACAGGGCGATCACGTCCGCATTCTCCTTGTTGGCATGGTCCAGCTTGGTCCTCAGGCACTCGTTCTCCTTGGCGAGCTTCTCAGAGGCCGCCTGCAGGGACTTCACCTCCATCTGGTGGGAAAACAAAATTTCCATGAACTTAAAACAGGAAGGAAAAGAAGCAGAAATAGAAATTTGTCTTTTTCAAACTGACTCTTTGCTTCGTCTTGTTTTAAGGAAAACCTTCTAAAAAATGGGGTTCTAAAGGATTTGATTTGTGCTGCTCGACTGAAAATCAAAGCTGAGGCAAAGGCATAGACCCGACTGTCAGAACGAGAGAAAAACGCTCATCAAGAACAGCCTCCAGCCCCAAGGAGCAGAGATGTGTCAGCCAGGCCCTGCCAGGTGCATGAACCCAGGTATCCCTGTCTGATTCGGAGTCTCCAGCAGAAGTGGTCCCGGCGGGGTTGGCCAGGCTGCCCCGCATCCTTGCCTGCACCCTGCAAGCCTCCGGGACCTGCCCGGGCTTTACCTCCAGGTCGCCTTTGGTGATGGACTCCTCCTCGACTCGGAACTGGAGGTCTTCCACTTTCCTGTGGGGGAGAGGGAGACGTTGTGAGGGGCGTCACTGCTGCGCCCCAAGAGGGCCACCATCTTGTAGATGCGCCTGACCCAGCCCCCGGCTCCACACACAGGAGGGCTGAGAGATTCGGGGAGGGCCAGAGCGAGAGTCCAGCAGGCAGGGCGTTTGTCTTGCACGTGGCCGACCCGGGTTCAATTCCCAGCATACCACTGTGGACCCCGAAGCAATGCCTGGAGTAATTCCTGAGTGCCGAGGCAGGAGTAACCCCTGAGCATCGCTGGGTTGACCCAAAAAGAAAAAAAAGAAAGTCAGCGAGTCCCCTCAACTTCGAGCACTGGGTGGGACCCGCAGGCTACAGGAGGAAGTTAGGCCGAGCCAACACCAGGTGCAGTGTCATATCAACCCTTTCTGCCTCGCAGCTAACAGAGGTGGTTAAAAACTGACCCGCGGCGCCTGCCAGTCCCTCCCAGCCAGCGCCTGTCCCCACATCAGGACAACAACTGAGCCCCTGGGGGAGAAGCAGCCAATGACTCGGGGGCGGGGGAGAGGGGGAGGCGGGGGGGGAGGGGCTCCCAGTGACTGTCGAGTTGGCATGTGGAGCTGAGGGGCTGAGCCAGGCACTCGCAGTGCCCCTGGGCACCACAATGCCGGGAGCCCACCTGAAAAGGCGGTCTCGGCCAGCACCCCGTGTCCATCTGTCTGCAGCCAGGCCTCAGCCCCGCGTCCGTCTGTCTGCAGCCTGGCCTGAGCCCCATGTCTGTCTGTCTGCACCCCGGCCTGAGCACCACATCCATCTGTCTGCAGCCTAGCCTGAGCCATGTCTGTCTGCTGTCGTGCCCCATGGGTACTGTGGGTTTACTCCTGCCTGGGATTTCACCACAGGGACTCCCACAGGGCCCCACTGGGTTAGGACAGTTCCTTGCCACCCAGCACAGGCCTCCTGAATACCAGGCCAGGTGGACACAGCAGGGAGGGCCGGGGGTGGCTTGGCTCCACTGAGTTCCGCCCCCAGTCCTCCCGGTGAGGCCGTGCTCAGGACTGGGCACCCGTTGGTTTCTGGTTCTCACAGCCCTGGAAGGCCAGGAGTGCCCCACCCGAGGGAGCCCCCAGCTCCGGGCACGGCCTCACCTCTTCTCCTCCTCCAGCTGGTTCAGCAGCTCCACCTTCTCCCAGTCGGCCGCTTCCAGCATGGCCCACAGCTCGTCGTTCTTGGCCTCCAGCTCCAGGACGTGCTGTAGAGGCAACGGCGCGTGAGTGGCCTCGCCCGCCCCAACAGCCCTCTGTGGGCTATCACCACGGCAAGCTGAATGCATCTCCCACCTAAGCTACGGCATTTCTGGAAGGCCAGAGGGGAACCACACCACGAAAGCACCGGCGTGGACAACTCGGCACTCCCTAAACCCCCACAGGGCGAGCAGAAGGGGCATGCAATCAAACCACGCGCCGCAACGACGGCAGACGGGGACCCACGGCCTCTGCCTGCACCGCCTGCACCAA